GTTTTTATAAGATTAAAAAGAACATTATGATCAATTTTTGAAATTGGTGAAATATGTACAACTTCTTTAAAATCTGAAAGTGCGCTGCTAATCATAAAAGTAAATGCTGAATTGGCTAAAGTGGCACTATTAGCAGCTGTTCCAACAATATTTTTTCCCTTATAATCCATATATGGTTTAATATGAATTTCATCCATGAGTAAAATCATGTGTTTTTGGTGATCTTTTAAATATTTGTATACATTTTTGGCATATAGTAAAAAGGATTGTCTTTCTTCCAGAGAGTCAGTGAGAAACGAATTACATATAGATTTTAGTGTATCAGGATGCGGCAATGTTAAAAATCCACGATTTCTTAAATACTTATATACATGAGGACTGATTGTAATTAATATTGTACATACTATTAGGGTGTCAGCTGAATATCGATTTCTTTTTTTAGATAAAGTTAATAGTTTTAATTGTTCACATAAAAAAGACAGTGATGAACTATTATCTTCGTACGTTTTAAATTATCTAAAATGCTGCAAATCTCATTAATTATATTATTGAAACTGTTTGTTTTTTCCTCTTTTGATGTTGGTTGTGTACTCGATGCAAGATTTTCTAATTTTCCAATCTCATTTATTACTTCTGATAAATCATTAATATTATTTAAGGTAAAAGGTGTTTTAAATTTATTTGTGTTTAAGGAAATAGCATGTTCATATAAATATATGTGCAGTTTTAATTCGGAATCAATATTTATAGAATAAGTAATAATAGGACCTGGAGATCTTTTTATTTTAAATAATAGAACTTCGTTTAAGTTACTGAATATTTTATGCCATTTTTCAGGAAGTATCCAACTATCAAAAATTTGTTTAAATTCATCGAAGTTTTTAAAAGTTGTTAATTTTTTATAGGTCTCATATTCCTGTATACTTTCTGTAAGCGCTTTTTGCAAATTTTGTTGCTCTTGTATAATTGACTTTGCTTCTCTACTTTTTCGGTTGTTATCGGGTTTCGAAAGGTAAGAGGGACAATTTGGAAAAATTGTTGGAACAGAACCTGTTAAAAGTGTTGGACGTTGTAAAGGTATATCGACAGTTTTACTTGATTTCTCATCAAAATAAGTATTAAAAAATTTGATACTTCCAAAAAATGCTGCTCGCAAACCCTGGTGTTTTTAGTGGGCTGAAAGTTGTCTCTTGTAATCGCACGTACCCATTGTTTCGAAAGTTGTTCGTCCTTTGGAAAGGCTACGAAAATATGGACACGTTTGTCGTCGGAATAATTACCACTGCACCCCGGAATACAGCACTTATACGGCATGTTTACAGCACAATATCGAACACCAAACACTAAAAACTATCTAAACGCTGTAAATACTGGAATTACAAACGAGAGCGGTCAAACGAAAAAAATCATCTGGCGCTCAGCATAACGTAAACATGTGGTCGCCATCATGTCGCCCTTAGATTTTACCACCTTACAGGTAATATGATTGGTCCAATTCACGTGGGAGTTTTGAATCGGTACAACTGGACTCGGTCTTGCGAAATTCCTAAAGCGCGGCGGCGGTGGTGCCGGTTTGCTTCGGAAATACGATCGAACATAGTAAAAGCAATGTAAAAGATGAATGCCTACATACGAAGAAATGCAACCTCGCCCGTATTGGACAACCGGGGCCTTCTTAATATCTAGGTGGTATTGGAACTACCCTCTATAAAACCGTCCCAGATGCTGGCTTTTGTCAAAGCCCTCGGACTGTATGATGAGTTATAACTCAAGAAAAGGGGACACAATAGATCTGTAAGGTCGCATTGATTAACTCCCCTCCCACTCATTCTAATTCTAATTCTAACACCCTATATATAATATAAAGCGGCATGCTAAATTATAACAAATTATATATAAAAAAAAACGATTATCTACTATCTTTTACACCACCATCAAATACAAAACACAAACCGTACGTTAATGATACACACCCCCAGCTAAACCATTAAAAATTTTAAATACTCTAAATACAAAAAATGTTCATTTCTTAATTCTCTATTTATTAAAAAAATAATATAGCGTGTTCCATTTAAAAAAAACTAGGAAGAATTATTTATATTTTAGAATTTTTAATTTGTTTTATTTTAATTTTTAATTTAAGGTTACGATATTCATAGCAAGTACAGACTATCAAAAGTAATACCTAATATATAATATAGTTTTGATTTCTGGACTGTTCTTGTATTTTTAATAATTTTTTAAAAAAGGCCGAAAGAAATATTTTTTGTTAATTATTTATTAATATCTATGAAACTATCAAAACATATTTAGAAATACAAGGTCCGGCAATTGTGCGTCGGGCATCTGTAGCTCCTAGATTAAAGTATTTTCCTTAAATACATCCTAATACATACTTTAGGTTTGCACTTCAACAAAATTCCTAAGTTTTTTATATTAGGAGCTACAGATGCCCGACGCACTATTGCCGGACTCTTTAATAGTAAACACCAACCACTAATAATTGAGTACTCAAAATTAATACCAAGTGCCAACATATTCTCGAAAATGCAATTTTATATAGTAGATACAGATATCCATTTCTATATTTACAAGAAAAAAATGTATGAACTAAAGTAATAGTCAATGTTAAAAGTTTTTAAAAATAAATGAAACATAAAATAGAAAGAATTAAAAACCGTCTCATTCTTCCAAATAACAATCCAGATTACTTAAAACGAAACCGTTGACAGCTATCGCTGCAGCCCTAGAAAAAGACAATTCTTTTTATATTCCCTCTGGATGCTTACAAACTAAATCCAGACAACACTATCCAAGTAAAACACAAATATAATCCAGGCTTTCAGCGTTTACTGTTTTCGACGTTATTTGAAGACGGGGTCTAGAAACCTCTTTAAGAGGAACAAGAAAAAGAGAAAAATATATATACACCGTTTCCACCTTTGAGAATTGCATAATAAAAGTTAAAAGGATTTCATTTACTGTTATGCCTTTGCTTCTACTCTTGTTGTTCCCATTAGCATGGCTGGGCGAATATCAAAAACTACAAAAGAAACTCTTTATCCTATTTAAAGTTATAGAATAATTAAAATATTTCGCGTGTTTCACAATCAACAATTTATGTAATAAAGCTAAGACTAAGAATAGATGTTTTTCATTAACATTGTTAATGAAAACGTTGTTTTTGTTTAGAAAATTATATAGGGTGTCCCAATATTCCGTGGATATAGATAGATCTCTGAGCATTTCCTAAATCCAAAAAAGTTAATTGGATACAATTTACCACTATACAAGCTTTAAAGAAATAAAAATATATGTACAATTTTTAAGATATTTAAGAACTAATATTTTAAGAGTTCTAGAGGATATGCTATAGAAAGCTGTTTTGTTTTCAAACGAAAAATATTAATTTTTGCGTCGTGATTGCCAATATAAAAACGTCATTTTAACGCCTAGGTATTTTTTAAATGGTGTAACCGTCTTTGACGCTGTTTTTCGATACGGTAAGGTAAACGTGCCTATTATCGACACTAATTCTACATAATCTCAAAAAATAAGATATCTATGGCAAGATTATTAAATAAAAGTATTTCAAGACCTTCAGCGAACCTTTATCTACGCGTCTTCACAATCGAACAACTGTCTGTCAAAATCGGTAATTGTCACTATCAAAAATATACTGGTCGGTTCGCGCTAAACTCTTGTATAAAGCGTTTCTTGGTGTACGTGTTCAGAAACAGGTAAGCTATATTGTGTTATAATTTCTGAATAATGTTTGTTATAAGCCTTTAATTGGGTCTCATATAGTTAGGATGTATTATGTTTATTAATTGCTTGTCAAAAACTGCTTTTCTGTAGCTCTTATGAGTATTTAATGGGTACATACATATTAGTGAATGATCCAATTTTCGGCAGATATGCCGATAACACAACTTTTGGACCCGAGCAGATAAGAACGATTCTTAACGTTATTTGATGCCCTGAACTCAGATCTTCAATCCGTTTGTCAAGATTGGCTCTAGTTGTCGAGTTCGCACATGGCAGTAGCACTGACAACAAAATGTGTCCTCTGTACCACTTGTAAACCCACAGGACGTTTTACTGCCACCTCTTCACATTAAACTTGGTCTTATTAAAAACTTTGTCAAGGCGCTCAATCGCGAAGGACCTGTTTTCCAGTACTTAACAAACTTGTTTCCAAAACTGTCATACGCAAAAATCAAAGAAGGAATATTTGTCCCAGGCAGCAGCATGGGCATCCTTTCAAAGTGTTGTTCACAACTTTCTCGGTAACCATAAATCACCGGATTACAAGCAAGTAATCGACAATTTGTTGCAAAATTACTACAAGATTGGAGCTCGAATGTCTCTCAAGACACATTTTCTGCATTCACATCTTGATTTTTTTTTCCACAAACCTTGGGCGACACGAGCGACGAGCAAGGAGAGCGGCTACACCAAGATATAGCGAAAATCGAAAGGCGATACCAAGGATTTTGGGACAAAGGCATGATGAGCGATTACTGTTGGACCCTAATCCGTGAAACAAATCCCAAGCAGTATAAAAGACTCAGTTCAACCTCTGTTCATTTCTGATTTATATTGTTTAATTCAATAAATGACCGTTAACGGTCAAAAATAGTAAAATAATGAATTTATTGAATATTTCGAAAACTAGAACCAATCTTAAAAAATGGACTGCTGATTTGGATTCAGCTTCAAAAATTATCTTAGAAATTGCTTTTAGTTGCTCAGGTCCAAAACCGTGTATACTTGTGTAATTGGTTATACGCATTGAACTGTATTTAGGTCGATTTTGTCTTTAGCCCTTAAGGTACCAAAAGAAGTGTTTGGTCATTCTATGGAATATAAAGCCACGAGATTTTACACCAATTTTCGGCACCCCTTTTTTTATTGGAATTAAACCTAACTTTGACATAATAGTAGTGCCGATAATACATACACTCACGTGCCTATAATTAGAAATCTATTTTTTTTAGATTTAAAATTCACGACAATGGAAAAGAAAAAACCGATTCTCTATTCTGTGGAAGACCTAAATAAAGCTGTTAACGCTATTCGATCTGGAATGCCATTTAAACCAGCTAGTAAGTTATTAGTACCCAGGTCGACCCTACAAGACAAAGTTAAAGGCGAACAGCTTTAGAGAAGAAATGTGGACCAAAAACCATACTAACAAGAGAAGAAGAAAATGTATTGGTAGTATGGCTATTTCGGATTTCAGCCTGTGGATTTCCTGCAACAAAAACAATATTGTTAGATAGTGTTCAGCTATTGGTTAAAGAACTGAATAGGCCGAATAATTTCACAGACAATAGGCCTGGACGTAAATGGTACGAATTGTTTATTAGAAGGCATCAAGAACTGGCTCCAAAGATTTCTCAAAACCTCTCATCTGCAAGAAATATCCTTAGAGAAAATCGCATTTGTCAGTGGTTCTTAGAAGTAGGGGCCTTCTTAGAGGGGTCAAACTATGTTCGTATAACTGATGACCCTGGTCGCGTATTTAATTGCGACGAAACGGCTTTTTTCCTCAGTCCCAAAGTTTGAGTTAGAACAGAGGACAAGAGACAAAGTTTTAGTTAGAAAGGATGATAGAACAGTTTACTCATTTGTAAGTAATAATGAGAAGGAGGGTCTAAAGACTTTGGTAACTTGTAGTGTATCCGGTCAAATTTTATCACCAATGATCTTTTTTTTAATTACAAAAGAGTTGGGGTATCGGAAAGTCAGAAAATGGATGGATGACCGGTGTAACATTTTTTGAGTACATCGCAAATATATTTCATCCTTGGCTAGTCGCCCAAAAAGTTCAGTTCCCCGTTATTTTGTTTTTGGATGAACAAACATACTGTTAAGGTCAAGGTGTATTACTGGTTGCATAACCGCAACGTGCATTGAGGAACCTGGCGAATTCGACAGAAAGTAAAAGAAAATTACAGAATTCTTTAGAAAATTCCAGAAACCATCGCCAGGGGGTATATAAGGCCCGCGCTTTGGCAGTTGGACAAGTCTGAAGATAGTCTGAAGTCTGAAGTTTGAAAATACCGCAAAATACCGTTAGAGTAATAGTAGTTGCATAAGTTGTGTTGTAAATAGTATAAGTTGTGTGTACAGAGTGAGACAAATAAATTCGTTAAGTATTTTATCGTGAGTTTAAATAGTGGACCCACGGAATCCGTAACAATTGGTGTCGGAAGTGCGATTCAAGAGGATTTTAAGAAGAAATTAAGTGGATTGGAAGATTTTAGACCGGATTAGAGTATTTTTATGGTTGGTACAAGGGAACAAGCGAAGAAAATGGAGGAAGTAAGCAAACTATTAGGCGATTTTATGGAGAATATGAGAAGGGAGAAAGCAGAAGAACAAGAAAGACTCCGTAAAGAACGAGAAGAAGAGCGAGCCCGATTAGAAAGAGAAAAGGAAGAGGAAAAACTACGACGTCAACAAAAACAGGACCGGCTTGAGAACATTTTCGAAGATTTGAAAGTTCAACAACAACAAGAGAAACAAGAAGAACAGGACCGGCTTGAGAAAATACTGGGTAATTTGGAAATTCGTTTGGAGGAGCGACGTCAAAAAGAAAGACAAGAAGAACAGGACCGTATTCAGAAAATTTTAGAAAATCAAGGAATTAGACAAGAACGGTTGGAGAAAATTGTTGAAGATTTAGAAGTGCGTCGCCAGAAAGAAAAATTTGAAGATCAGGACCGTCTTAAGAAAACTTTGGAAAATCAGGAATTTCGACTACAGAAGAATTTTGAAGACCTGGAAAAACGGCAGGAAAATCAACTTCAAGAAACCGTAGATCTTGAGGAACGCCTTCAGCAGAAGATAGAAAGATTGGAGATGGACCTACAGAAGACCAAGGTACAAGTAAAGACACCTGGCGTTCAAGGAACAGCGAACCTTAAGGCCCCGACCTACGATGGACAAACGACATGGACAATGTACCACCGTCAGTTTGAAGCAGCCGCCGCTGCCAACGGATGGGCTGACCAGGAGAAAGCAGCGGCACTTGTCATCGCGCTGCGTGGCCCTGCCCTGGAACTGTTGCAAACTATTCCTGCAGCCCAACAGCAGGAATACCAAACTTTGGTCGCTGCACTGGACAGAAGATATGGCGACCAACATCGACGCCAACTTTACCAGGCCCAGATCAAGACACGCCTGCAGAGGTCCGGAGAGAGTCTGCAGGAATTTGAAGCAGACTTACGTCGGCTGGTACACCTAGCGTATCCTGAAGCACCGGAAGGATTTAGGGAGGAACTCGCTGCTCAGTGGTTTATCAGCGGACTGAGGGACAACGAATTACAGAGGGCGCTGCAAATATCCCGATTTTCTACCAGCAGCGAAGCACTGGTCAGGGCGCTGGAAATCGAAGCTGCTTTTAGCGCCATCCCTAGACCGAAGATAAGATCGGTAACGGTAGAGGAACAGCCCGAAAGTACCCACAGAAGTTTGGAGGAGATGTGTAGAAAATTCGACAAACTATGTGAGCTACTAATAAACAAGGGAGTCAACAACACCCAGACAGAGAACCAAAGAAGATTCCAGGATATGAGGTGCTATGGATGCGGCAGGAATGGCCACATCAAACGGGATTGTCGCATCCAAATGCGATTCCATTCACCATCCAGAGAACATCGGCACATCGGAAGATCCCAGGACATAAGTTGCTATAGATGTGGCAGGAATGGCCACATCAAACGGGATTGCCGCGTCCAAATGCGATTCCGTTTACCATCGAGAGAACATAGGCACCAGGAAATCAACACTAATGAGCAAGTATTGACTGGGGAGAACAGAGCCCCCAGGATTTTTTCCACTAGGAGTCTGGGAAGAACCGCTGACAGTTTAGTGATCGACGGGAAGGTCAATGGTAGGAGAATCCGAATGACAGTGGACACTGGCGCTATGGTATCGTTGGTGCGGGCTAACTCAGTGCAAGGATTGAAGCTGATGCCTCTGAGAAGAAGAGTGTGTTTACGTACAGTCACGGGGGAAATGGCCGTTGTACGGGGAGAGGCTATCGTCGAACTGAAGTTAGGAAATTTGAAGTTTCAGCATAGCATCTTAGTGGCAGATATTGAAGATGACTTCATCTTGGGCATGGATGTGATTCGTCAACATGGATTTTCGTTCGATCACCAGAGAAATATCTTAAATATTGGAAATGAAGAGTTCATGTTATCTCCAGACGAGGGACCAGGCAGAATGGATGTGAGATCAGCGGAAACTGTGGTGATACCTGGTAATACCGAGAAGATCGCATTCGGTAAAGTGGAGAAAATCGCTGGGTGCTGTGTTGGACTGGTACAAAGTAGCGACAACAAACAAGATAAGTACTTAGTAGGAAAGTCATTGGTGAACACTGACAAGAATATACCGATCAGAATTGCGAATGTTTTCCCGAATTGTGTCAAGATTCAAAAAGGTGACAAGATAGCCATCTGCGAACCTGTAAGAAGTGTCACCCGATGTGATGAAGTGCCGTCAGCTGTTACACAAATGGCATCCAAAGAAACACTAAAACATCTAGAGCAGCCATGGGATCACCTAACATCTGAGGAGAAACAGAAGGCTAAGCAGTTCCTGCTAAAGCATGGCAGTATTTTTGAGAAGAACAACAGTGGAAGAACGGATTTTGTGAAGCACCGGATTAATACTGGTCATGCTCAGCCGATTCAACAACGTCCTAGAAGGGTGCCCCTTTCCAAACAACAAGAAATGGAGACAATGGTAGATAAGATGCTAGAAGATGGAGTTATCGAAGAATCATCGAGTCCATGGTCATCTCCTGTTGTTTTGGTGACGAAGAAAGATGGTAGTACACGATTCTGCGTGGACTATCGGAAGCTCAATGACGTCACTAAGAAGGACAGCTACCCACTGCCACGTATAGACGACACGTTAACCACACTGGCAGGTTCGTGCTGGTTCTCCACTCTCGACTTAAAGAGTGGATACTGGCAAGTTGGTCTGGACGAGGAAGACAAAGAAAAGACGGCTTTTTCTACAGGAAACGGACTATACCAATTCAAGGTCATGCCGTTTGGATTATGCAATGCTCCAGCCACTTTCGAACGTCTCATGGAGGTGGTGTTAAGAGGATTAACTTGGAAAACGTGCTTGGTTTACCTCGACGATGTATTGGTTATGGGAAGAACTTTTGAGGAGCATTTGCGAAATTTAGAAGAAGTCTTCGGCCGCATACGGAATGCTCACCTGTACTTGAACCCGAAGAAGTGTAGCTTATTCCAGCGACAAGTGGAATTCTTGGGTCATGTAGTTTCGGCAGACGGCATTTACACCGATCAGAAGAAAATCGCTGCAATCAAGGATTGCCCTAAACCTCGCGACAAACATGAACTTAGAAGTTTCCTGGGTTTATGCACTTATCACAGAAGATTTGTCAAGGGATTTGCCAATATAGCTGCACCCTTACATAGGCTTACAGGTGATGAAGTCGGCTACGAATGGAACACCGATTGTGATGTAGCCTTTGGAAGACTTAAGGCGGCTTTATGTTCAAGTCCTATTTTAGCCTACCCACAACAACAAGGGGGGTATATACTGGACACAGACGCCAGCAACATCGGCATAGGAGCAGTGCTATCACAAGTCCAAGATGGCGAAGAACGAGTGATAGAATATTACAGTCGAGTTCTATCCAAACCGGAAAGGAATTACTGCGTTACCCGGAAGGAGCTGCTAGCATTTGTAAAGGCAGTTGATCATTTTCATAAATACCTGTATGGCCAAGAATTTTTAATTAGGACAGATCATGCGCTCTCAAATGGCTTATGGAGATGAAACAACCTGAAGGCCAAATAGCACGATGGCTCGAGAAGCTCCAGCAGTATCACTTTACCATCCAACATCGTGCTGGGAAGATGCATGCTAACGCAGACGGTTTATCCAGAAGACCCTGTCAAACCGATTGTAAGCACTGCTGTAAAACGGAACAACGTGAAGGCACTGTCATGATAAGGAGTTTTAAGCTTGGAGCTGATGAACAGTGGACGACGGCACAGTTGAGGAAAGACCAAATGGAAGATCCAGACATCGGAGCAATACTAGGGCTCAAGGAAGGTAACGGCGAGAGACCACCGTGGCAGGATATTGCGGACAGAGGGCTAGTTT